CGAATTTATAGAATATTGTAAAAAGTATATATATATATATATATATATATATATATATATACTTTTTATACGTATATATATATATATTTATCTATTAAGCAACATTTATCAGCCATAGGATGCGACCTCTACCACACACCAAAAACTCCTCGTCTTGAAAATTCCATCAATCATCTTTCTTTTATTTTCTAAATATATATAAAACATTCGAACAAAGTCAAAGCTATAGCCTTCTACAACAACAACAACTACTACTACTATTACTATTACTACTACTACTACTACTACTACTACTACTAATAATAATAATAATAATGAAAAAAATACTGAAAACTCTTTTATTTAGTCTAAAATAATTAGCAACATGCTTCAAAGTGAGAATAATCTACGATAATAATAATAATTTATAATAATAATAATTAATAATAATAATAATAGCAATAAGAGTAACAATAATAATAATAATAATAATATAATAATAACTACAACAACAATAATAATAATAATAACTACAACAACAATAATAATAATGAAAAGTGTTCTTTTCTCTGTCGCCGAACAACAGCAGCAACAGGATGAGGAGGATGAGGATGGACACGATGTTTCAACGAGATGCACCACACTCATCACGTGATCAATTAATTCCTAGGAGTGAGATGCATCAGAAAACTTTTGTTGAGTGAGTTAGATCTCCATTCCACCTCTCGCTTCCTTCCTAGCAGCTGCACTGCACATGTATCCACCTTTTGAAAACGCACCGAAATAAATTATGCTCCAATTCGATTAGCATTCCTTTTCCAAGTAGCATCGCAATGGAAGTAAATGATGACGCGATAAGAATGTTTGGCATGGAAAGTATATTTTATTCAAGCAATTATTATTCTTATCATATCAATTAACACAGACTCAATTTTTTTATACTAGCAAAAAACCAAAAGTGTGATCCAGAAATTGAAAAACAATTTTAAACAGGTAAAAAATGTTCAAAACCGATGATACAAAAAATTTGTTGCGATTCAAAATGCACTACAAGAAAAATATTGCTTGCAATTCCATTGCATTTCTTCTTAACAGTTACTATTAATTATTTATGACTGTCAAATAAATTTTGTTGAAAGGAATTTAAAACATATTTTAAAAGAAAAATTCTGAAGAGCAAACAACCGATTGAGTATCTTGAATGATTTTCAGCTGTTGGGTCGGTTGAAATTTTGAAAAAGTTGATGGAAACAAAAACAAACTGCAAACAGCGCGCAGTACCATTCGGAAAAGTTGACTCGCGAGTTCAAAAAAGAACGTTTCAAGTGCAAATTTTCAATTGACGTTCACAGCTAGAGGTGTTGAACCGAAAAACGAGATGGACGGTGAGTGTGGTGGCATGTCTCCAGCTGTCGTCTTACAAAGAATGGCTCGATAATTAAAATGGAATGCTGTTTCCGTAAAATCCAACCTTTTAAACATCATGCTTAGAATAATTTCAATAGCGTATAGCTAAGTTGGGAATTTCAACATAAAATTTCTATAAAAAAAAGCGTTAACAGGTTGTTAGCCCAAATTAAATTCAGTTATTAATGAATATTTGAAAAACAATTCATAACTTATTGATATTCCAAACTGAGTAGCCAAGCAATCATCTATCCGGCTTAACTTCACTAATCAAACTTCTCTGGCTTTCACGTATCTACGCATTACTTTTAATCTGCGTTAATTATCTAGCAGACGTTAAGTTATCATCAACCTTTTACACCTCAAAATCATACTAGTCACAAGCTTTAATCAGATTCAAATAGGTAACTCATATCAGTCTTTCAACAAATGTTCTCTGCAGCGTTAGGTTCTTCTGTTGGTTCTCCTCCATGATGAGACAGCCAGCCTTCATTTCTTCCATTCTGTAACAACTAGCCCTCCGTCGTATCAAGACACCTTTGAAGCACTTTACCTCTTTGTTTTTAGGTATTTCGGTGCGATACGAAGTAATTTAGCCTGTTTCTAATACTATGCAATGCAGTAAAACGTATTGGGCCCTGTTCTAAGCGACATATTGTTATTATCGTTTAATTACTATTATTGTTGTTTTTGTTGTTAAGAATACTATCGGCTAAACCACAAAAACTGCAATAAAAAATTGTTTGAATTAACTTTTCTGAACTATGAATTAACCGGGAGAAAATTTTTTTAATAAAATGTTTTTTTCTATTTATAAATTCGAATTTGAAGGGAACGTTGTTTATCCATCGTTCTTCATTTGAAGAGAGTTTCAATGGAAAGTGGTTGTTACTTCCCTGTCATGCTGAATTGGTCTGAACGAAACAAAAGTAAATACAAAAAAGCATCTCACGTTATCTTCCAATGATTCAAGAAGTTGAGCACGAATCTTTGCTCGGTGGAAGTTCTTTAGAAAATTTTTTAAAGTTATAATCACGCAAACAAGATTCTTGAACGAATGAAAGAAAGAAAGAATGAATGAATGAATAAATAAACGAGGAATGGATGAATGAATGAGAAAATAAATGATGCATGATCAAATTTCGTGACTACAACTCACATGGATGATTTTAAATGTTTTATTTTTGCCGGAATTACGTGCAGCAAGAATTACTCAAATTCCAGCAAAATAAAATTTTTAAATGAAATTTCTTCCAAATTATACTATAGAAATTTGATAAAAATTCTTGAGAGCGGTGTTGATAACCTCAAAATATTAAAAAAAAATTTTTCTCAATTTTCATCTGGTTAAAATAACTTTGAAATTATGCTTTTGAAAGCATTATTATTTTTTGCTTTTTGCTGTTTTTCATGCTCATACTAAATTTTGTAAAATTTAATTATTTAACATTTATTTATATTTGAAAATTCTGTAAAAAAAACTCAATTTTTATTAATGCTACCATGTTGAAAAAATGCTTTTTTTTACAAATTATTTGTGTGCCTAAAATAGTTATTTAAAACTGAATTATGTTGGCAGATAATGTACAAATGGATCATTAGAGTGGCAAAAATATTTCAACTTGTAACTCAAATGACTCAAGTTTCATTTCAAACGAAACGATCAAATTGAAAACAAATCAACGAGAGAGGTTTAAATGGGGGAGATTTTAAGAGGGTTTGAACGTCATCAGGAATTAGAAAGAATTTAAAAATACAAACAAACTGTTGAAAGCAAAACGCAAAACAATTATATAATATTGAAAATGATATTTTGAAAACGTCGTCTAATTGATTACCTTACTGGTTGGATCCAGGAACTGCATCGTTCCGTCGAGTTCAACCACTCCTTGTCTGCATTGAATGGCGGTGCAATTTATTTGCTCAGCAATGAACATTGAAGTGATACAAATTGAATTAGGAGAAATTTATTTGATGCTACTATTATAATTTTTTTTTACATATTAAAAAAAACACCTCCAAATATTAAGCGGAAGAATGTGCATCTGGTCGGTTGGAGTGCCGATGACAACGTCATGGCATCGTTGATACTCGTGCAAATCATATATTCCAGCTTGTTGGTGTTGTTGGTGATGTAGGTGTTGGTGTTGTTGTTGATGTGGTTGTTGTTGCTGTAGTTTTTGATGTATTAAAACGCATGAATTGTCAACTAGGTGATGTTTTTGATGATGATGGATTGAGTTTTGGTTTATATCCGAAGCACAATATTTTGAACAGACAACGTTATATGACTGAGAAACATTTTGGACATAATGATGAGAGGATGGTGGTTGGTCTAACGATGATACCATTATCATATTTGCACTAAGACCAGATAATGATGATGTGGCCGTTGTGATTGTTGATGAATTGTTGGACGTTGAAGGAAAAGATTCAGAAAGGTTAATGAACGGAATGTTCAATTGATTTGCACCGACTGCTGCTAGCGTTCCGTCCAGTTCCGTCGATGACTGCAAATGCAGTGAGAATGATGCTAGTGGTTGGGCGTCGGTCGAAGATGTTGTTTGTGATGTCTGTGTTGTTAATGTTACGTGAGTGGTCTGTGTTGCTGAATGTGTCTGTGTCGGTTGCGTTGATGTTAATAGAGCAGCCTCTGATGTTGATAACGATGAAACCGAATCAAATTTTTCAGAATTTGTGTGTGCAATGAAATGCGTGGAATCAAATGGCGCCGTTACATTTGGTGGAAGTGTTGGAGGAGCAAGGGACAGTGATGTTGACGATGTCGTTGGCGCTCTTTCTAAAAGTTGTCGAGCCAGTATTGATGACGATGTCTCAAATTGTCTTGAAATAAAATATTTCTGCTGCAGGTTATCATGTCTTATTTGTAAACGGTCAGACCCGATTTTTCGTATTTTGAATGGTTGTTGTTGTTGTGGTTGATGTTGTCGATAATGTTGGTGTTGTTGTAAATACCGAGGGTTGATTCGTGGGTGATGATGAAGCTGATGCTGCAACTGTTTCTGCTGCACATGCGGCCGATCTTCTCTTGATGCATGCTGACGGTGTTGGAGAGTTTGTGGATAATGTTGTTGCGCAGTTGTTGTGGTTGTTTCTAATAGCATCTCTTGCACACAAGCAGACTGATTGGAGAGACGTGCTCGTTCATGCCTACTGCTGCTACTCCGAGCTGAGGTTACGTTACGAAATGTTTTTAAAAATTATATATTCTCCATTCCAGTTTTAAAATTTTCGTAATAATAACTTATAATGCTATAAATATTTTCAGTTCAGCCCTTATAAATATTATTTTATGATTCTGCTTTATTTATTGGCAAAATTTGTACGCCTGCCTTCCATGCAAAAGATAAAAAATAGTGAAATCTGATTAATCTTATTGCAAGGGGCGTCGTCGTCACTGCGTACAATGCACCAGCACCAGCACAAATCTCAAATGAGTTCGTTCCTCGATTTTATCATCCTTTTATTTGACTACAAAAATATTTTTTTGGAGAAAAAATAAAAACTGTGGAGCAAGAAAAAAAATGACCAAATTAAACTAACAAACAACTTTGAAAAACAAAAAGCAAAAACAAAAAAGTTACTAATTGTTGAAAAATTTATGAAAAAAATTTAAACCAAATTTTCAGCTTGATATTTCTTCCAAACAACCGTAATTTAAATACTTAGTCGACGAAACATAAAAACAAATCAAGCACATGTTAACATGTCACACATTCAGTCGAACGCCTTCATCTTTACTTTCATCGCCGTCTTTTCAAACGAGTTTGATTTTGCTGTTGTTCATTTAATTATTCCGTATTATCATTTCTGGCAAACATCTTAAAAAATGCATTTGATAATTTCTGAGCGCCAGTCTTATGCTTGTTTTGATGCAACTCAATCAATCATACTCGCCTTGCATTTCTTAACGGAAGAAATTTAAAATACTTGTGCACTTCTTTCTTAAATTTTTTTTAAAGAAATAAAAAATTAACACTTATTCAACACTAGCGGCGGAGTTGGCAGATTTTGGCAAGCACAAAGAACGTAGAAACCGTTGTATGGCTTGACAGTTCTGCATTCGTTTGAGGAATTAATGGGTTGTCATTGAGGGTTATTTGGAAATTTTGTCATTGTAAAAATTTTGTCATGCTTGACGGCTGTGATAACCTGAGTAGCGAAAAGTTTGCTTAAATCTGCAAAAGAATAATTACAATCTGAATAATGAAAACGAAAGCAAACAGGCGAGACTGTATTTTTTCTTAAAGACGAAATGAATTTTGACTCGCGAAGCAAACAGCAAAGAATATACGAAAGAGGAAATTAGTTTGCAGAAAGAGAAGGTGTTGGAGTGGCTGTTGGTCACCACCATCAAGAATTCCAAATCACTCTGACGTACCAACGCATGAAAAAACGCATAATGATAACAGTTAACAGAACTAATTTTTACTTTCAACACACACACGCTCAACAACACACACGCACACACACACCAACACACACGCACACAAACATACACACAGATACACTTATACACACACCAACACAAACATAAGGTGGATTCATTGATTCAACCAATGATCTCTTTGTTAGATTTTAAGCCGTAGAAACGACATTAAGATACTATCTTTTATATAGTGTGGTATATAGATACTATTTGTTACATAAAGATACTATCTGGTATATTGATACTACTTGGTATATATGGATACTAATTAGTATTTAAAAATAATATCTGGCATATAAAGATATAATCTGTTATATGAAAATACTATCTGCTATATAGAAATCTGGTATATAAAATTTCTATCTGATATACAGAGATTTAAAGATACTTAGTGGTATTTAGATATATTACTATCTGATATATAAAAATTTAAAAATATTTAGTGGTATTTAGATATATTAATCTCTGGTATATAGAGATTTAAAGATACTTAGTGGCATTTAAAGATACTAAGAGTTATTTATTATATCCACAATTGCGCCTCATTTACTGAGCTGAACATGTTTAGCATCCAACTAATGCTAATGAAGTTTTGAATTGCAAATCCTTCCCGGCCGTTTAAAATGAGAAAATAACTAACAGGGAGATAAAATAACGATAAAAAATCGTTTCAAAGAAATGTTAGCGACGATGGATCGGACGCCTGTGTCGATCGTTAGAGGAGTCACGATGGTATTGTTGGAGTTGTTTGAGGACAATGAATGCAGGCATAAATGGACGATGAGCATTACGACTTAACTTTCTTGCATGTTTTCTGCATCTCAACGCTCATTCCAACGTGCACTCCTCCTGCCTGCTACGCTCATTCCCATGTTTGCTTGTGCCTCATTAAGTCCTTGCGTGCTTATTTATGCTTCTTTATAAATGTTCAATTTTACTTCTTTTTCTTCCGTCAATTCACAGAGATGGCGTCGTGTTTTCTTTGTTTGAGTTAATGTGCACTGCACACGCGTACTTTTGTATCGCTGCATTCTATACAAACATGCACGCACATGCTTCCTTAGCTCAATTTCTCACGTAATGTTGACACATTTACGACAAGTATTACATGTTAAGACGTGTAGTACTTCATTACAATTGCGCTTAATATAATCTGTACTACTTCATTACTTTGTACATCGTCAAGCAAGTTTACCAGTTAGTTTGTTTCAGTTTGTTTGTTTTAATTTTTCGCCAAGGTCCATCCTATTCGACTGCACCGGCGAATGTTCTGCACAAGGGAACATTTCTATTTTGTACACATTCCCCGCATGAATAAATGAACAACGTGACAGATAGCAACATCCATTAACTCGTGAACTAATCAGAAGCACAAGTTGTTTTTATTCCTTTATTTATTTCATTGATACAAATAAAAAATTATTTTTTTTTATTTTCACCATAAAACTGCACTTAACATTCTAATAATAGCATCCACACACACAGATACATTTTCACAAACGCACACACCACACACACATGCGCATAGATATATATACACACAGACAACGCACACCACACACACATACACATAAACAAAAATACACACAAAAAAACATAAACACAAACACACACAAACCTTCACCCACCCGCCCAGACACCACACATACACACACACACACACAGACATGCACACAAACACAAACATACACATAAACATAAGCAGTATTTCTTACGAATATTTATTTTTCTTTTGTATTTGTTCCGTTAAAATTAACTTGAAACAAAACTAAAGATGTCCTTAAGCAATAAATGCCAATTTATGGCAGACCGAAATTGAACATAACTTAAATGAAGAAGTTTTGTCTCTGAAGTCAAACAACAACAACAAAAAACTCTAAAAACAAAAACACATAAAACAACATTCAACTGAGAAAAAGTTTAGTAGAAAATTAAAGCATGCCAAATAAAAAAATACGATTAATGTTGACTGATGCTGGTCAATCGGAATTTCGCTATAAACCACAATTTCAAAAAGTGATCGGACTATACGTTACACGAATGTATGCAGAATACGTGCTAATAAATCTAATTTATGAAGAGAAACTGACACTAAATTAAGTATCAATTCTGAAATGTATGTTGCCTGTTTTAGTTAAAGAATAATAAAAATTTTCAAGAAAAAAATTATAAACAAACAACTTAAAAAACAATCCAATGGAATCGAACATTAGCACACGTAACATTGGGCAAAACTAATTTGAAACATCAACAAAACTAAACCAAAAAAACAACGATAATGTTCAACGAATAAAAAATGGCACCATTTAAAAGTTACAAATGACCAGCAGCAACAGCAACAACCAAAACAACAACAACAACAATAGTAACAACAACAAGGAAGACAACGACATCGACAACAACAACAAAGACAATGTTACTAACATTGATGATATCTTTGCTTGCCGTTGTTTATCGGGGCGGCTTCATTAACCTGTGGTTTGAATTTTTTAACAGAAACTTTTATTACATCAATTCATTTCATTGTTACTAAAAAACATTTAAATTTATCAGCAAAACATTTTAATTCATATAAAATTTTTTTGCCAATAATATAATTTTCTAGTCAAATTTTTGCAAAGTTATCAAGTTGTACAAATGTATCATTCTTGTTTATCAAATGTTACACACACCCACAACAAACACACACAAATACACTACACAACAAGCACATTCACACATTCACGCATACACATTAACGCAATAAAAAACAAACCCATTCACACACACTATCACACAAACAAACACATTCACACAAAAAAAACACACATACACATGCACATCCACCCAAAATATTTATAATTGACATGGAATCATTTTTATCACATAGGTGAATGTTTTATAGTTGAAATGAGAGATCGGGGTCAGACGCAAAAAATTACATGTTTTTTTTTTATAGTATGATTGTCATCAGGTATTTGTGTGATCACGTGATCATGCAACGTGATAATGTGATTTTGTAATGTGATCATGTGATTATGTAATGTGATCACGTGATTATGTAATGTGATCACGTGATTATGTAATGTGATCACGTGATTATGTAATGTAATCATGTGATTATGTAATGTGATCATGTGATTATGTAATGTGATCACGTGATTATGTAATGTAATCATGTGATTTTGTAGTGTGATCACGTGATTATGTAATGTGATCACGTGATTTTGTAATATGATCACGTGATTTTGTAATGTGATCATGTGATAATGTTATGTGATGTGACCAAGCTGCCTTAATACAAAATTTATAAAATGAAAATTAACCACATAGATAAAAAGTCAATTTTTAAACTAATGAATAAATGGGGAGAATTAAAAGACGAATGGAAAAATAGGACGAATGAATGAATGAATGATGGAATGAATGATAGAATGAATGATGGAATGAATGATAGAATGAATGATGGAATGAATGATAGAATGAATGATGGAATGAATGATGGAATGAATGATGGAATGAATGATAGAATGAATGATGGAATGAATGATAGAATGAATGATGGAATGAATGATGGAATGAATGATAGAATGAATGATGGAATGAATGATGGAATGAATGAGTAAATGATTAAAAAACAATGACCAGTGAGCGAATAGGCAAACAAATAAATGTTTAAATGTGTGAGTTAGTAACTGGCTGAACGAACGAATGCTATCCAGTGCAGGGCAATCACCTTAAAATTTATTTCCAACTTTTATCCAACCTTTTGCCACATATTTTCTACACTTTTGTTTTTTTCTCAGATTTAGAAATTTTTTTTTATTCAAACAATACTTAAAAACAATGAATTAAAAGATGTATTATCTTAACCAAAGCATTTATTTCTTTATCTTCGATAGTTCAATTCCACGCCATGACGAATAGCATTCATTATTAATTTGATTGTCCAATGAATTACACATCTTTGCCTGGCCAGCGTCAGGTTCTTTTTTGTAACACAGGTGTGAGTGTCCGCTGCGTACCATCCAACATAAAACTAACATTTATTCGATTAGTTTAGTTTAAATAAAATTTATTCAAATTTGGAAAATTTAGACGGAGAATTAAGTGTTTTTTTAATTATTTCCTGTAGTGTTGTGCTACGTATATTTACTGACATTTGTTCGGAAAAGTTCAAATTGAAAATTGTGTAAATAAAATTAAAAAATAAACGGAGATTGTATGACTAATATAAATTTTGTTGCTTAAAATGTGTATTCGAGTATTTTTTGACTCTGACTATACAATAGCGGTATGTTACGTAAAATATTATGTATAAGATGATATATCGATAAAAAACGAAAAACCATTTAAAAATTTGAGAAAAATAAATTGAAACCAATAAAGAGCATTTGTTTGAAAAATTTATGAAAGTAATCAAATGAAGTATGAAACGGAAGTTAATCATAAAAACGCGCGAAATAAATATATATGTATGAATGAATGAACATATATCATCAATGTTTAATGGCGCGTTTCACTGGAAAGTGAATAAATAATGGATAATCTCTTCAGCCTCTTGAAGTGTTGCAGTATGTTGCTGCTCCCTTTCCAAAATAGATGTTTTTTCTTTATATTTTTCTCTATTTTTCAAAACGTATGGTGTTACACAATCAATAAACAGCAGAATTTTTTTATGTAAAAACTTAGCTGGTTAAAATTGTTGATAACTTGAAGTTGTTGAAGTTATACCTATTTTCAACCAAAAATAAAAAACGGTTCGAAGCTAATGCCTGTCTTTGAAATGATTGCAAGTAAAAATATTTTATACGGATTCATGTTTCTCTGAGCGAGAATAAGAACTGAATAATAAAATTTTCCAGGCAGGAAACTGTAGAGAGACAGATAGCAGATGGACAAAGACAAACAGACGAACGGACAGACAAGTAGATGGATAGATTATAAATTCCACCCCATCTAATGGAAGCAAAAACCATACATATGAATGCTGTAATGGTTGTCCGGGTTTCAGAAAATTCAAAATTAACTTTTCAGTAACAATAAAATGTAGGTTGATAAATGATTACCGACATACATACACGGTCGAAATAATTCCATGTACGCTATGACTCTTGCCGATAAATTTTCATAGTATGAACAATTTCGGTAATAAACATTTCAGAGCCGGCTCAAAATTACTTTCCATAAAATCACAGAAATGTTTATAAACAAGCGGGCAATTTGTTGAGAAATTTGATTATATATTATAATATATATTTACCGTGCTTTCTTATTTTAAGTTTTAACATAAAGTTTAGTATTGATAACCCGTTAAATAGTAATATTATAGAAATCACTCTGTGTTTGAGGCTTGTGTTGATGTTTAAGCGTTTAAAAACTAAACGAAATATCTATCGTCTTTAATAACCATTGAAAAAATAATTTTCGAAAGGAATATAGGTGTCAAGCTTACAATGTGGAAGTGAGGATGATAAAGAAGAAGATGATGGTGTTGATGATGATGGTGATGATGGTGATGAAGAAGATGGTGATGATAATGGTGATGATGATGACAATCTAATAATATATGAGATTTATGTTAGTTGCAATAATGATGATGATGAATTAATTCATAAAGTGATGGTGTCTGATGAAGATGATGATGTTGATGATTCTTTAAGAGATAATGATATGATGATGATGAATAACATAATGTGTTATATTAAACGTTTATAATGTAAAATATAATAATAGATAACAAATAGTTTGGTGGTAAAATATAGGATGAAATTTAATGGTGACTATGTTGAAGACAACATAACAAATACTGCTAGTGATATTGACGATAAGATGGAATAATATTGGATGATGATGATGAAGATAATCGCAAAGGCAGACGTTTTATCGACCTCAATGCATTGTACAATCGATTTATTTTGAAATGTTCTACTGAACTTTTAGAAATTTAATAGCATGTTCATTCTCTTTGTTTTTTCTAGTTTCATTTTTTTTTAAATTTTTTTATTGGCAAATTTATTGTCGTCATCGACAACGTCATCAACAACGTCATCATCATCAACGTCAGTAGTGGTGGATCTAGACCATGTTGATAGAAGCGGAGCCAGAATTTCAAAATGTTGAAATTTAACTGAGGGGGGATTATTCAGATTATTCGTCAAAAGTTTGCTAGTGTGGCCACAAAAATTAGGCTAGTGACCTCTTTTTTATGGCTTTATTTGATTTTAAATAACTCAATAAATTCATTGAGACGATAGACAGATTAATGTCAAATAAAATAAAGAATGCTAACAACACAACTGCATCATCCATACTAACAAAAAAAATTCTTCTTGCGAATTTTAAATTGGAATAAAAATGTTTTTTTTGGCCCGTGTATGTTTTTTTAGCATGGTTGCTTCATGCATCTTTAACCATCTTTCTACAGGAAGATAAAATGAGAAAAAACTTATTGACTAGTGCTCGCGCGCACACACACATACACAGACACACACCACACACACACACACACACACACAGAGAGAGAGAGATACAGATACACTTATACACACATGCAAACACGAAACTTTTAAAAACACAAACACATACACACACAAACATAAGCGTACAAAGATACTCATAGAAAGACATTTATACAAACACATGCATATGCATCCACATACAAAATTTTTGTAAGGGAAGTAGATCATCATAGTGACAAAATGAACAACATCATTGACAAAAAACACCAGCCACATGAACAACATTGTTAACAAAGGACAGCAACAACAAGATGAGCAATATGAACAACATTAATAGCAAACAACATTATCAACAAACAACAACAGCAACAATATCAGCAGCAGCAACAGCAGCAGCAACAACAAACAGTAACAACAAACTAACCTCGAGTTTTCTGCCCTCTACTATTAGCCCGTTCATATATAGCATGGCATTCTTGGCCTGCGAACCTCTGGCGAACGTTGCAAAGCCAAATCCCTGAAATGAGTGAAGGAATAATAAATGAACGATGGAGCGTGTGAATGAATAATAAATGAATGATTGAATGAATGAACGTATGACTAAACAAACAAACGAATGAACAAATGAGTGTCAACAGTTTTGCAATGCACGAATCAACAACGGGTATCATTAAGAAGATATCTTGGCGGTGTGATCAAATTACAATAACCAGATGGTTACTACATAATACTATTTCCAATGCTACTACCTAAATTACTACTACATTATCAATTGTTACTACAATCAGTGGCGTATCTAAAATTTTTCGCTGGGAGGATGGTTTAAAAGTTGTAAAGTTGATAACCATTTTTGGCTAATTCTCGTAATTCGCGTTTCTCCCCGTGATGATGATTTTCGAAATTCCTCGTTGATGACCTACCATTTTGACTGATTTTCGCTTTTACTTTGTTACTGTAATATACATGGGATATTTGAAATTTTTTTTTTATGTTCGGTGGGGGCTGGCCTGCCCGCATGTCTCCCTAGATTTGCCACTGATCCCACCATTGTTATTTTGTCACTGCTATTGCTACATCTACCAGGAAATTGCTAAATTATTGATAGTATAAAACCTGCATTTAAGGCGTACATTTTTTCTAACACAGTTTCGGGAAAGGGAAAAAATTGTCCAAGACATGACTATTCAGAGAAGCATAAATTTTATTATTGTTGGATGAATTATTCAACTGCCAGTTAAACGTGCGAATTCCTAATTGGTGGAGTGACACTTGAATGTTATAAGAGCAATACGTTTTTATACATGTTTTTGTTATTAACCAGGATATATCAAAAAACAGATTAAGATTGGTGAATTTTAATTAATTGATTGGTTCATTAATTAATTCTCAATTAATTAAAAAAATGGCAAAATATTTCAAATACCAATTAATTTTTTGGCTACCATTTTTCAAAATTTTTAATCCATTTGATCCTTTCTTCTTGACCTTTTTCAAAACTTGAAATAAATTTTTGTGACAGTGACGTCATCTTTGATATTTTGTAACCAAACAAATATAAAAATCAAACACAGCTGATCTCATTTATTTCTCCTCCTCTCTCTCTCTCTCTTTCTCTTTCTCTTTTTTTTTCTCTCTCTCTCTCTATATATATATAAACTAACAGACAGACAGACAGACAAACAAACAAACAAAGAGACAGACACCTCACAAATATTAGAGTTGATGAATGAACATTGAGAGTAGTGCTACAATAAAATTAATGAAGAATAATGTCCATAGTCTCTGGATAAGTTGCATAACTTGCGTTCACACGCTAATATAGCGCAGATGGTACGATAGACAAGGGATGGGCAAACAACGGCCCGTGAAGCCATTTTATGCGGTCCGCGAGGCGTTTTCAACATTTTTGAAAAAAAGAAATCATAAATGAAATTCCAAAAAAAAGTTGTCAGTCATAAATGATCATGATGAACCGGTTAAAAAATTCCCCCTCGCCTGTTAACAGTCGATAAATATACATATGCGGCTCCCGAAAGGTCAAATAGTTTTCAATGCGGCCCTCACAGCAAAAAGTTTGCCCACCCCTGTGGAAACCTTCTAATTGATTGATCGATTTTTCAGATGTTTGTATACTTTGAAAACTCAGAGTATAATTAAAAAATATATTACTTATAGGTGGATTTTAATTAAAATAATGCGCCAATCGAACAGGTGTTACCTGAGTGATGTTAGGTTGCATATTCTTATGTTACATGGCGTTATGTTATATGGCGTTATGATACCATTGCTGTTACACGATGTCATATTTCATACGTCACGTTACCGATACACTTCGTTGCACTACCCTTGCTACAGATGTTGTTGGAAGAGCGTCTACGAATGAAAACATCAACAGGATGTCGACGACAACGACGAAGATGTTGTAGTAGTAGTAGTGGCCTCATAAAAATTACGAAGAGATTTTAATGCAAATTGTGAGCGGCCATGTTTGACTGAAGAGATTGTGCTGGGATTCTGTTGTTCAAAAAAAACATTAACTGCATGATAAGTAATGACGACGATGATGATGAAGATGGTGGTGATGATGATGATGGTGGTGGTGATGATGATGATGGTGGTGGAGAAAATGATGATGATAAAAAAGAATGTGATGATGAGGGTGAGAATAAAAACGATGCAGTATCATCAATAGCGATGTTGTTACAATACTGAATGATGTGACGACGACGATGTTGATGATGATGATGATGACGATATTAATGATGATGATGATATTAATGATGATGATGACGATAACAACAGAGGAATGAAGGAATAATGATATAACAGGAATCATAACTCTTTAGAGATTGTTATATTTGTATAATTCAATAAAGAAGAGCTAGATATTTGTATTCACGAACTGACCAGCGCTAGATCAATCAATCATTAACAATACAGGGTATAACCTAATATGTCTAAACAATAGGGAATTATACCCAACACGCCTTACCAAATAATATTCAATAGAATCTAATATAAATTATTTAGATCAATGTAGCCTAATACACCATTACATTAATAAGTAATTCTTTAATACAGAAAAGTAATAATGAAGCATGACCTCAAATACTAAAATAATGTTGAGTATTTTTATATTTTTGGTTATAATATTGAATATCGTTATGACGTATTGTATCAGGATAATTATGGATATGACGTAATACACCACATTTAATGTGACCAGTGAGGCAAACAGAAATTTGACAGAAATTTGTTGCAAGGCTGGGAGGTGTGGGAGTTTTCTTTAAAAGTTGTCTGCCTCAGTTTGGCTTGGCTCGTGTCAAATTTTTGCCAGCAAATCTCACGTTAATTAAACCAACATTACAACGAAAATTTACGAAAATTTTTAAATTTGATTAGAAAGGGTTAGGGTTTTGTGTGATTACAATAAATATACAGAAACTATTTGATAAAAATTTCAAAACTTTGGCTACTGCAGCGTTTACGCATATGGCGAAATATGACATGACAATGTTAAAGAAGTGTATTTGTACGCATTACAGCACCGCTTTTTATTTTTTTTTTCATTTCAATACATTGAAACGCTTTTATTTGTCATTTATATCTAAAATTTGAGGCTACTTATACCTGCCACGGTGCAACATGATTGAAAGTAATTAGTGGCCAGCGTGGTCATAGGGGGATGATAAATAGCCACCATTAACTGATTGGATTTATTAATTGAAGGAAGGACCTATCTGTAATACTTTTGCGTGTGGGTGTGGGATGAGTTGCAAGTGATGTTGGGCGAAGTTGGGTGATGCGATGCGATGTGTTGTCGTGTGATAAATGGGGTAGGATGGTGATGCCCCGATGCTGTAAAAAGCACAACTAACAAAAATTTTTTGATTGTAACACGTTTTACTTGATGGTTTTACTCTACATATTTTTGAATGCTGCATTAGTTTCATTATTTTAATTAAAACTTTTTTTCTACGAAAGATTGCAACTGCAATAACTGATCTGTGACTGAAATTAAATTGAATTTTTTAAAATAAAAATGAAGTCAAATTGAATAAAATTAAAACGAATCAAAACATTAGCACAAAATAAACACTAACAATAACGAATAATGTAATGCATAACCAACATGTGTAATGCGTTTGTTTAGTCACGCCCCGCGTATTAAAATGTGCTGTGTGTTTGTTGAAAAAAACTAAATAGAGAATTTTAAGTACTTAATGAACAAATAAAATAACAACAATAGCAACGAACACATCAACAACAACATAAACAACACAAAGAACAAAAAAAAACAAAAAGTACACAAAAACTGTCATAAACATAAACAACTATAAATAGAAAAAAAACTTATGTCAAAACATTACTTAGGTGCATAATCGGAACGGACAAACCATGACGACGTAATATGTTTATTTGTGTGTGTATGTGTGTGTGTGTGTGCTTCTCTCTCTCCTCTCTCTCTCTCTCTCTCTCTCTCTCTCTCTCTCTCTCTCTCTCTCTCTCTCTCTCTCTCTCTCTCTCTCTCTCTCTCTCTCTCTCTCTCTCTCTGTATGATCGTGCGTGCGCGCGTGTGTGTAAATAATGAAAAGATTATATAACAAATGACATATCATAAAACGCTTTTATTGCGGTTGAAATTCGGTGCAAAAAATATCGCAAAAGGCAAAAAATAACAATAAAAATAAATAATATTAATAACAACAATGCCAATAAAGATAAATACAAAAAAATAAATTTACAATAACAGGAATAGTAATAACAATAATAATGCAATGTCAGCGGATGCAAATGAAAGCTAAAAGTTTTTATCAATTTTCTCGCTGTCATGGCAAATGGATGACGAGATAAATGTGATGTCTTATTGTTGCTCTGATATTTATGTTATTCCAGTTCTTATTTTCTGACGTTGTGCTTCTTTGTTTGTTAGTTCGTTTGTTAATATTAATAAATGCTGTCAGTAAGCGAGTATTTAAGATTAGGGTCAGTAAGTTCGTGATACATCGCAAAATATGGTTGGCTTAGTAAGCAACGCTACGCTGCGAATCATCGTTTAATGTTAAGAAAATATATATCGTCTTCGTTTATAATTTACAAACCTTAAATCCAGCCCCCCTCCCTATAAAAAAGAGCAATGCCGCTTCAAGTGTGCCCGCTTTTTCAGCAGTTCGCTTCGACCAGACTACACTGAATCTTTGCCATAAACAGACACACCTACCTCACCTCATCAAACAACTATCACTCTTTCTTAAATGTTTTTAAAATCGTCTGGTAGCAAAGAAGTATAAATTTTTTAGCAAAACAATATCCTAGCCTATTTTTATTATTTTTAAATTTTAGGCCAGAAATTTCTCAATCATTTACTCTTTTTTCTATTGCTGAATCCGCTGTAAAAGTTTCCTAAAAACATTTCGCAAAGGTTCACCCTTATCAATCACACCTACATTAACTAATTTGAAGATAAGTCATTACATAAAATTGACTAGATATAATGTATATGCACGTAGACACAATACATATTCGCACACATATTTGATTTATACTTTATACATACAAATCGCAATATGTAACAATGTAAATTAATAACATTTTTCCGCCTTCTGTTAAAATTATCGGCTTCATCTGACAGCGTTTATTTCTCCTTGATAGCGATATAAAGGCAGTTAAATAAATTTTATGCAGTCATTACTAATATAAATAAATGTAAATAAATATATATGTACATATACACACAATCAACAACCATGTGCTCCTGATCTACCTGAGACGGAGTTTCATGTAAGCACACTCCACAAATTCAATCAAAAAAGTGTTCATCCCGTGAAAATGTTCAACGGAAGATTGGCGGGATTGTTGCCAACGTGGACGAGTGTTGAATTTAAATGCAAATTGACGCAGACATCATTCTGTCGTGATTGCTTCATTCACTCACTCAACACTCAACATTGAACAAATATGTTTAGCATCATTTTATCATCATCATCTGGTAAACCTTTGCAATTATTTTTTGATATACAAGACAGTTCTCGATGTCGTTTTTTGAAAGCGTTATCGATTTTTTACTCAGAATATTAGTTTTTTATTCTAACTTTTGACCTATTTTTGTATAAAAATATTGTCAAAAAGAGAATTTACTTTACCATATACCTTAACTGATGACCAAATTTATCAAAATGTGTAAACTTTTCTGACGTTAAATTTTTCACTCTGTTAAGGATCACTAAACTCGTTGCGTCTGTTTCTTCATACTATTTAAAGCTGCTTCCGGATCACGTAATAGCAATCTTCATTTACTTTGCATGCTCCACCTTCAAGTTGAGATTAAAGTAAAGTTTAAAAAATGATGGTGTTTTTCATTTTAATTGAGAGATTGTTATTTTTAAACTTTTTTAAAATGAATATTTACCCAATTAAAACATATACTGCAAGTAAAATATTTATGCTCTATTTCTATTGGTTTGTTTGTCGTTTAGATTAATTATTTAATTAGCTTAATTAATTTATAATTTTGTCTGGGACTACAAATTATATCGATATGTTGACAAAATTAGAGTTATCCTACTTAGGAGGTTGGTTGAATTGCGACTTGTTCATATTTTGTTTGCCGCAGGCAGTTCTAAATAAGTTACACGTTGTTCTGAATAATTCAGTCTCTACGATGAAAATGTGTTTTGAAAATTTAATGAAAATTAATGGTAGTTCAGAATGGTACTGCGGTGTCTGCTTGACTACATTCTAAAAAGTGTTGAAAGATTTTTTTTTCGAAATTAATTACATCATATTACAAAAGAAAACAATTAGGGGGGAAAATAATTATCACCATTATCGTCCTCATCATCAACGTTCCCGTCTTCATCTTCATCATCGTGGTCATCATCATCATGGACATTATCATCATCATTATCGTCCTCATCATCGTCATCATTACTGCCAGAAATAGATTTGGTGCGATTCCAGAAAAAAGTAGAAAAGAAAAGAAAGAATAAATAGATAAGGCTAACATTTTTATTGAAACTTTCAAAAGTTTTCAAAAAGCAAAAATAATGAGCTGTCAACTGTGTGGAAAAGAGTGCGATTGAAAGAAACGGATGCGAGCAGGGGCAAGGAAATAATAAAAGATGTTGTCAAGGCGGCAGCCGCGTGAAACATTTATAATTAATAGACACGTAAACACCTTTTAAAAGAAAAAATGTAATGTCTGTTTGCTTGGCGTCATCATTTTTTTTACTTTGGAAGTGTTTATTTCAGTTCAATTGCTACAGACCTGAACATTTTTTTATATTAATGTTACTCGTTTGTTTATTTGTTCGTCGAGTTAGCTTAAATAATCAACATGCAATTTCATACGCCGTTATGCAGTGACCTACTTCAAATGCAAAAGGAACCGCCGAATGATATGCGATCATTTATGGCATGGGCTACTGGCAGGAAGTTTTGGTTGCTAGAATTGTAATGAGTTCCATTGTATCATTCTTGCTGAACAAGCATTCGCCTGCAAATTTATTAAATTGCCATATTCTACATTTAGTTATAAATATTCGTCATTTATTTTCAATACTATTTTTTTTATTTATTTTTAATTAATTTCTATTTATTTTATATCTTATTCACTTATTTTTGTCTTTTCGAGTCATTTTACGTTTTGTTGTAGGATTTGAAAAGTTTTTCAAGTGTGCTCATTTATAATTTACTGAATATTATCATTACAACGTTCAAATAACTCAAATTTCATGGTTTATTGTTGATAATTTATAAATACATTGTAATATTTTAGACTGAACCTTGAACTAATCATGTTACTCTGTGGTAATTGTCGTGATTTCTGAAGCGAGCGACATTTTGTTGAGTGAACAGCAGCCACCAGGCTGTTTTTTATTTGCAGTAGTAGTGGCGGCGAAGACGGCGCTGAATTTTATGCGTGATGTTAGTGACCCGCCCTGAAAACAAAACAAATGGGCAGCATGGTGAAAATTGAAAATAACCACAACAACATTCAGCCATCAAATCAAGGACGAGAACAAGAAAAAAATTCAGTCAACAAAAAAAAACAATCGGACAAACGGACAGACAAACAAACGGACAAAAGACATGTAGACAGATAGAAAGACAAACAAATAAAAGAAAGGAGGTAACCTTTGAACCTCTCTCGTTGCAGATGACCTCGATGTTGATTATCTGACCGAAGGACTGGTTGGTGGAAGTACTTCATCGTTAACAAATAAATCTTTGAGAAATCATAACCATCATCATCATCATCATCGCTGCTTGTTATCACGATCATTATCTCCACATTCATCATCATCATCATCATCATCACCAAGTCGACTAACCTCAAGCATTTTTCTAATGTGTGCTTCTCTGAAACGAAAGGGCAAATTAGAAAGATGAATTTTCATTGGTCCGTCGATGGCGATGACGTCACGTGAGGGTTGGAGTTTTGATGATGGTGGTGATGATGAAGAGGAAGAGGACGATGTAGTGAGTATTGCAAATGTCATTGGCGCAAAGTTCAAGGGGTTGTTTGATGGGAATGAAGATGATGGTGATATGAAAACAGGGTGATGAGTTGGTGGTGGTGGTGGTGGGTGTGAATGACGAGTGGATGTTGATGGGAAAAAAGATAATGATGACGATGACAACGACGATGATGAGGATAATGACGACGGTGAAGAAGACGATGATGTAAATTTTGTTAGAGATGAATAAACTGGCTGCTGGCAGCCTGAAGACCTGCCAATGACAAGTGATGATGAAGATGAGAAGGAGGAGGAAGATGATGATGGTGATGATGATGGGGAAGATGATTACGATGATTATGATGATGACGATGATGATGAGGTTGATGATGATTATGATGAAAAATGATTCTGGCGGTTTGGTTGATGACAGTGAATGTGATGACAAAACTTCCGCCAAAGACTCAACGACCTGCTGATGATGTATGATGATGAAAGCAATGTACGATCTTCCTCTACATCATTCAACGAAGAAGACGTTATCACGGATGAGTGAGTGAGTGATGATAGGCATGACGACGACGACGATGTTGTTGTTGATGGTAGTGATGATGCAAGTAGGGGAAAAATTGTTGATGAGTAGAGCACGTTGGGTGACGTATATTGGAAAGATGATGATGACGACGATGGAGATGATGATGACCGTGATGATGGAAATGATGATGAAGAAAAGTATGATAATGGGGTTATCGCTGCCTGCAGCTGTTGGACATCAGTTTGCTGCGGAAATTAAAAGATTATCATGTCAGTTATAATTGGGAAATGTTTAAAATATTATTTGCCATCATCTTGGGTTCTCGATTAACATTGCTATGTATCACAAAAAATGTATCAATCCATGAAAAAATTATTATTGTTTGTATTTATTAACCATTTGAATCATGTTTCTCTATTCTTAGTGAGATATCTTCTTAGGATAGGTTTAACAATGTACTTTCAAGTAGCTATTGATATGCCAATCTTAATTTTTCAACCATCATAAGTAATAATTTCTCTCTCTCTTTCTCTTTCTCTTTCTCTCTCTCTCTCTCTTTCTCTCCCTCTTTCTCTCTTTCTATATATATATATAATGTATTCTACGTCATAATCGTTTGAATGACGTCAGCATGATGTCAGAGTATTGTGCTTGAGCGTATCACATTACTCCGCCACATCAAACACTAGGCAATGGTAAAAATAATCCGACTGATTTTTGCTCAATTGTATGCATCAAACAATAATAAGTGGATTCGTCTGTGTGTGTATCGGTGTGTGTGTGTAATGTAATTTAAGAATGTCGGAATGTAAGAATACGGATACGGAATATGGATAAGCGCGCGCGCGTTTATGTATGTATGTATGTATGTATGTGTGTATGTATGTGTGTGTGTTTGCGTGTGTGTGTGTGTGCGTGCTGCTGCCAAACTGTTCATTCCTTGCTTGCGAATTAAGCATCAGTGTTAAGTATTCTGTTGCAAATAATTATTAGCACCACAAAATTAGCCACATCCACACTGCACGACTAACATGCATGCACATTGAATACGTGAAGATATCATTTATTTACAATTTTATTATCACAACATGTGACCATATCACGCTTTCCACCACTATTTACTCAGTCATCATCATCAGACCTACTGTAATAATGGGTCTGATTATGATGATGGCTGTTATTATCATTATCATCAAAGTCTTCATCATTTGTCGTAATTGTTGCGTGCATTGTTGAAAATATAATAATTCATGGTTTTGAGCCATCATCATCCTTATCATCGTCATCATTTCTAATTATCGTCTTCATCATCATTGTTTTCAAACCGTCATCATTGTCATGATCGTTTTTAGTCACTGTTGGAATAATCATTGTATTTTCTCCTTTTCCAGCCATCCATTCTATCGCATCACAACACAGCACAGCAGTCAACCAGTTCAAAACTTTCTCACTGGTGTCAAACAATTCAATTGATTCCTTTGCATCTGCGTGCAGTGCTGTACTTCGTGATGTACTGTATTTCACTCGACTGTGCTGCGTGTTGTGCTGATGTTTTTAAGTAACATTTTTAATGACTGAAATGTTAGATCAACAAACAATCAAATACAAATGAACCAACACTTGGCACACGTTCAACGATGAACCATTTCCTAAAATGACCTACTTATCTATCTATCTTCACCGACGTTATCGATTATTCATGATTTATCAGGTCGCCCCATTTGATCAGCGCGACAAAATTAACGATTGCAAGTGGCCAGCGCAGCACAGATCGCCGCCACTACCACCACTACCACCTCTTCGTCTAAGAGGCCTCCATTCAGAAAGTTGTTAGGAGCTCGTCTTGCGAGACCAATCGTTCATTCAGCTGGCATACAATTATTCGAACGATTACCTAACAAAGAGATTTATTCAAACAACCCTTCTGTCCTATAATCTCTGTCCTTGGTTTTGTACAAATTATTTTTGGTTTTATCAAAATGTGTTGTTAGTGTTTCATGTTTTATGTTTGTATTTCACCTGGTTTATATTTTGTTGTGCTTGATTTGTTGTTGTTTTGTTTTTGTGTTGTTGTTGAAAATGTTTTATGTCTTGTTAAGATGTTGTTGTCATTTTGCCTACTGCTGCTGTGTCTGGTCATTGTGTCGCTCGCATGTTCTTGTTTGGGCACTGCTACTGATGCAACGTTGTTTTACTTGACTGTTGTTTCAAATGGTGTCATATGTTATATTTTCGACAGTTGTCGTTATATCAGTCGTATTGCAACGTGTTTTGTGAACGTTTCGTTGCTAATGCTTTGAACTGTATGTTTTTCAACAAGGCATGATAGAGTATAAATTTGAAAAAAATGGAAAAAAATAAAAATTGTTGAACCAATATTAAAAAACGAAAAATGCACTATTGTAATGTCTGACGTTTAAACAACAAAATACTATTTAAACAATAACTAAACCTTAAAAAAATTTTCAAATTGTTCTCACAACATTCAGTGTTGCAGAGTTCTACTTTGTTTTCGCTGTGTTGCGCCTGTTATATTGTAGATATGCTATATTTATAAATAGGCTTGTGTGTGTTTCTCCTGTTGGTAATTGTGAAATATTGCACGGGACGGTTTCATATTGAATGAGTCAGTCTGACCCGAGAAAGAGAGGCTGTTTATTCGAATAAAATTCTGTTATTCATCCGATGTGATGGATTGATGCGTCTTGTGGTGGCCGATGGATTGCTGTGTCTTGTGGTGGCCGATGGATTGCTGTGTCTTGTGGTGGCCACTGCGGTACGCACTGCCCAGTTACTCCACATCCAAGATATTTCTTTCGCATTTTCGCATCTTTGCATTACTTTTTCTGTTGGCGTCGAGGAGATTGTTGTAAAGTTGGTGATGTTAGAATGATTTTTTTATCTTAGTTTTTCCTACTACAGTTGCTGCTATTTTTAACGTAATTTTAGATGCAGCTTCAAAGTTTGACAATATTGCCATGCCATCTATAATGACATCGCAATTCAAGTTGACATTTGGATTATTAATGATGTTTCTACTTTTAAACTGAAATTGCAAATGCAGCTCGCTAAAATTTTAAATTGTTGTTAATAACGTTTTGTTGATGATTTTTTGATTTCAATTAAATAGCTTTTATGTAGTTACATTTTTAGCATGATAAATTTTTAAACTAAGTCAATCAATAGAATGAACGCCTACGTTGTTTAAAAAGCTTTCGTTCATTTGACCTTTGTGGGAATAAAATATCAAATATCTCAATAGGGTTGATAACGTCACATGTTGTTAAGCTGGGTGGATCTGGAGATTGGAAGCCATTAATGCAATTATTCTAATTGATTCAGTTATGTTGCAGTGTTGTGCGTTGGTTGGCTGGTTGGTTGGTGGTTTGCTAAATGGTTGGTTAGTTGGTTGGTTGGTTGGTTGGTTGGCTGGTTAGTTGGTTGGCTGATTGGTTGGTGGTTTGCTAAATGGTTGGTTGGTTGGTTGGTTGGTTGGTTGGCTGGTTGGTTGGTTGGTTGGTTGGATAGTTGGGAGGGATTATATTTACAACAACTTTGAGGCAATTATGTTTATTGTTTTTCTGGAGCTCTGTCTTCTAATAAATATCAGATATGATTTGGTCTTTAATTAAAACTGCAAGTTGTTCCTCGGGGGTTTGAATATTTGAAATTTCCTTGAACTACTTTGCATATCAATGTGGATAGTTGGCTGGATGTCTGGCTGGATGTCTGGCTGGATGTTTGGCTAGATATCTGGCTGGATGCATATCAGTAATGTAAATGTAGGCAGATTGTTGCTGGTGAATGCATGCGACAACACATGGGTTGTTGCGATAGACCGGTTGTTAAAAATAAACTCAGGAATTGTTCTCTTGATATTAACATCAGTCAAACTTTAAATAGCTTGAAGTTAATAAGGAAACTAAGGAGGATCCACACAGCAATACAGACGACATAACAATTTTTATGACATGGCAATCCGAATGATGACTTATGCATGGACGATTATGGAAACGATGATTGCAATAATGGAAAATAATGATCGTGAGTGAGTGTTAAGTTGAAGGTAACAAAAACGAAATGGTTACGAGATGACCAACTATTTATCATTAGTGTGTTTTTCAATTTAGAATGTAATGATTACCTTGATGAATGACAATGTTAATGATGATGAATTTGAATGATGGCGAGCTGATTGTGAGAGCTAAGCTGCGGTTTTATAACATTATTTAAAATAATATTTCTTAAACATATCATCAATGATGATAATATAATAAGACTTATTATCACTATTTTGTGTTGAGGACTAACTCATTGACTTTCGGGCTCACCATTTGAAAATGGCGTCACTGACTAAAATGTAACAAATTAAATATCGTATAGGACGAACATTTCAATGAAACATGTT